CTTAGTATTCTGAATATTTTGACTCGCACTCCCTTTGTCATAATGTCTGCAATCTGATTCTCAGTTATACAGCGTTTAAGTTCATCTTTCCATCTGCTACCTGCTCATGAAGATAATAGAACTTCATCTCGATGTGCTCGCTTCGACCATGTGTTATCGGATTCTTTGCCAGATTGATAGCTGACATGTTGTCGATCTTCATGGTAATTTCTCCATGATTCTTCCTTGTTATCTCTCCGACCAGATTCATCATCCACGTTGCTTGACAAGTAGAGAGGGAAACATCTATGTACTCTGCTTCACATGAATATAGTGTCACTATTGGTTCTTTTCTTGAACTCCAAGCATCTGGTGTCCCACCTAGCATAAACATATAACCAGCTGTAGATTTTCGATCCTCAACATCATTACACCAACTTAAGTTAGTGTATCCCACTAACTTGTATTCTTTTCCTCTGCAGGAAATAAAATGCCATAGTCGAGAGTTCCTTTGAGATACCTTAGTATCTTATTTGTCACTGCTAAATGTGATACCTTTGGCTTCTGCATAAATCTAATCACCATACCTACATTGTATGTTAGATCAGACCTTGTGTGACAAAGGTACCTTAATGACCCAATAAGTCTTCTATATTGGGTTGGGCCGACATCATCTTCATCTGAGTCTTTCAACAATTGTAGTCTTGGTTCAGCAGGTGTCGAAGTCGAGTTGCATTCTTCCATCTCAAATCTCTTGAGAATTTCACTACATATATTCTTTGATTCATCATTAGTCCTCTACTGCTCTTGTAGAATTCAATGCCAAGGAAATATGAAATGTCTTCCAGATCTGACATTTCGAATTCCTTGTTGAGATCACCTTTGAAGTATTCGATCTCTTTTTTGCAACTACCTCTTATCAACAAGTCATCAATATAGAGACATAATATAAGCAATTCACTCTTGCTTCTTCTTACATATACTCCATACTCAGTGTGCACTTCAGAAATTCCTTCTCCCTTAGGAAACTGTCAATCTTCTTATTTCAAGCTCTTAGAGCTTGTTTAAGTCCATACATGGCTTTATGCAGCTTGTACATCTTTCTGTCTTCGCCATGCTTCACAAATCCAACTGGTTGTGCAACATAAACTTCTTCGTCTAAGGGGTCATTTAGTAATGCACATTTCACGTTCATCCGATATATGTGCCAATTGTTCATTTCTGCTAGACTAACAACCAACCTGATTGTTTTAATTCTAGCAACAGGTGAAAAAACTTCATCGAAGTTGATTTCTTCTTTCAGAAGAAATCATGTCACCACAAGTCTTTCCTTGTGCCGAGTTACTTCACCTTTTATATTCAGCATCACCTTGTATACCCACTTGACATCAATTGCCTTCTTGATTTAAAGAAATTCGACAAGTGGCCAAGTGTTTTTGACTACGATGGGCTTCAACTCCTCATTTATAGCTTTCACCCACTTTGAATCCTTCAATGCCTTAGTTGCATTGACTGGTTTGACATATGCATATAAAGCATAGTGTACCAGTTCACCATCATTATTGACCACATCATATGATGTAATCACAATATTGCAATCTTACAGGCACGTGCCTTGTTCTCTGAGGTCTGCTTAGGCCTGAATCACCTCTCATTTCTTCTTGTCGAACTTCTTCTATTTCGACTTCAGTAGCTGGTTCTTCACAAAAGATTCTCAATGAATCCTTCTTGACATTTTCAATCCAATCCAATTCCTTAAGCTCATCTATGATCATGTCCCTGCTGATCATTACTTGTTTGTTCACTGGGTCGAACAACTTGTATCCTCCAGTCGAATGATATCCTATTAGGATCATTTGACTCGACTTGTCATCAAGTTTTCTTCTCAATTGATCTGACACATGTCTATGTGCTATAGATCCAAACACTTACAGATGATTCAAGCTAGGCTTGACACCAGACCAACATTCTTCTGGCGTGACTCCTTCTAACTTCTTCGTCGGACATCTGTTCAAAATATATGTTATAGTCGACACAGCTTCACCCCAAAACTCTTTAGATAAATGTTTTCCTTTCAACATATTTCTCACCATATTCATGATGGTTTGGTTCTTCCTTTCTGCAATTCCATTTTGCTGTGGAGTGTAAGGTGCCATCACCTCATGCACAATCTCTTCTTTCTCCCATAACATGTCGAAGTCTTTCGACACATATTCTCCATCATCATTAGTCCTCGAAGTTTTGAGCTTTCGACCATTTTGTCTTTCGACCATAGATTTAAACTTGGCAAATACCTCAATCACTTCACTTTCTTATTGATCAGGTAAGTCCACGGTTTTCGACTAAAACCATCTAGGAATGTAACAAAGTATTTGTTACTTCCAGTCGAATCCATCGAGATAGGACCACATACATAAGATTATATGGTTTCAAGAATAAGATTCGATTTGGTTCATGAATCCTTGCTAAAGTTATTCTTGTACTGCTTCGCCTGCACACATTCCTCACACACTTCATTTGGAATGTCGATTTTTAGAAATCCTGAAACCATATTTCTTCTTTTCAAATCTCTGATGTCTTTGAAATTGAGATGACCTAGTCGATAGTGCCATATCCATTCATTTCTGCTAGCTGCAGTCGTAAGACACTTGTGCTCCATCACATTAAGTTCAATATTGAAGGTTTTATTCTGAGACATAAGAGACTTCAAGATTAACCTTCCATTTGCGTCGACGACTCTCATCATCTTGTCTTCGATCAACACTTTATAATTATTTTCGACCAACTGTCTTATGCCGAGCAAATTGCTCTTCATGCCTGATATGTACAACATATTGGAAATTACTAACATCTTGCCATTTTTCCTCATAATCTGAACTTCTCCAATATCTTCAGCTGCTAGAGTATTGTCATTTGCAAATTTCACCATGTTCTTCATTGAGGATTTTATATTCTTCATGTTTTGCAAACTTTGCATCACTTTCTTGATTCTGTCATTTTTTTGGACAATTACTCGAATAGTGACCATACTTCTGACAATTGAAACACTGAATATGACTTTTGTCAGGTTTTTGACCATCGCCTCTTCCTTTATCTCCAGCCCCACCTCTTTGGTTGCATTGGTATGAAGATATTCTCTGATTCGACACAATTCCTTCCTGCTGGTCTCCTCTACCAGTTGAATTGGTGTAGCTTCCTCTACCTCTATTGTTGAACCATTTTTCTTTGCCTTTCTTTTCTTTTGCTGATTGCGCTTGCAAAGCCACATCACTCTTCAACTTTCCTGCAGCTCTATCAGTCATTCTTTATTCATGAGATTCAAGCGTCCTTTGAAGCTCTTCCTTTATCAATTTTGACAAATCTTTCGACTCTTTTATGGCTACCTCCACATGATCGAACTTTGGAGCCAAAGATCTCAAGATCTTTGCAACAATTGATCTCGACGTTATCGTTTCTCCATATACTTTGATTTGATTCACCAGTTTCGTAACCTTAGTGAAGAAATCAGTTATGCTTTCACTTTTTTCCATTTGAAGCAATTCATACGTTCTTTTGTGAGTTTGTAACCTCACTTCTTTCACTTTTTCTGCACCTCCAAAAGAATTTTCTAGAATTTCCCAAGCTTTTGTCGTAGATTCTACATCACTCACCTTTTCAAAATTGTCTAGACTCAGACATTGATAAATTATAAAGAGAGTTTTATAATTCTTCTTCTTCAATTCTTTGTGTGGAATCTCTTATTCTTCCGTTGCGTTTTCTTTAAGCGGTTCTAACCCTTATTTCACAAAATCTCAAAGATCTTGACAACTGAACACAACCTTCATCTGCTTGCACCAATTCTTATAGTTATCAACTTTCAGAATCAGAAGACTTGCTAGAAAATACCCGTTTGGATGATTCATTGTCATCGTGATTTTCTTGCCTTGAATCGCTCAACCGAAACTCTTGTTACCAAAAGTTGAAAACCCACCAAACCTATGGAGAATTTCTATCAATCTTGATGAACAGGATTATTATCGATACACAATAACAATGAAAAGAAAGAAAATTGAGGAAGAAAGAAAAGTAGGGTTTGACAAAATATGGGAGAAAATGGTAATTTCTGCAGAGTTTTTCTATGTCCATAAACTCTGAAAATTCTTATTCAATTGCAACTGTAAATTCTGTGAATACAAGTTATGAATGTGTTACAATAATAGAGGTTACTCAATCTATTTATAGTTTTATGTTAGCTTTCTCCCAAAGCCAAAACTCAAAACACAAAAGTCCAAAAATACCTATTTTCTAAGTCGAAATCTTGTGTCAAGCAACCTGCTTCGACACTTCGACATCTAATACAATTCGACATACACATTAGACTATTTCAACACACCATTGTTTCTATCAAACAATATGCTGCTTCGACCCAAAGGATTATAATCTAACAGTAAAAAGGTTTATATAGAATTTTTAAGAATTTTAACAGTGGAAATTGAATTCACGCCATATGAAAAAATAATCAAATTTGTACAATCCATATACATGCTTCTGGATTATTTATGTCGTCTTGATGCACACTATTTAGGGGTTTTAGTAGTGAATATGGATAAGGCCAACCAAGTTCCATGTAAATCAGGAGGCAGAAAGTAGTCATAGAGAAGAAAACATAGTTCATATAAATTGTGTGGTGCATTTTTGTGTAAAACAACCTTAACAGATATATAGAAATAAAGGAAGTAATAACCAAGGTAATGTTTCAAATGCTGACAAAGACACAGTAAACGATCTAAGTATGAAACAAAAAATGAAAAGAGAAAACAAAGTTAAACAATGAAAATCAAACATTGAAAAATCCATCACTAAATTCACCACAAGTGCACTTAGACCGCAGTATTAAGATCAAGTTCAACATACTAAAGATTACAATATAAAGTAAACAAAGGCATACACTATTTAAACTTTATTAAGTTACAACATATTTTGCCTACACCAAACATTCTAACGAGATTTTGAAAATCGACAATTACAATCCTGAAGACAGACTAATAGATAAAGGGAATAAACTTGTACTTAACTTGGCTTGCATAATCAGTGTATCTCTGGCCAAAAGACTCAACCATCAAAGCCTCCTCCACATCTGCCTTTTGCTTATAATACAACAAACAAATAGCTACAATGAATAGCAGACTCAGCGGTGCACGAAGCGCAACACAGTATGTCACAAACAAAAGCGCTGTTGATGAATATATTGGATGGCGTAACCAGCGATAAGGTCCAAATTGCACAACAGAAGTTGGAACCACCACATTTTCTGAATACTTAGCAAGATATAGTGTGGCATTATAATGAAACAGCAGAGTTGCAATAATCAAACCCCAGATTCCAAGATTGCTCCACCCCCGGGGTGCGAGGCTAAGCTCTGCGCCTTCGAATGCTGCAAGCCAATGGCCAACCATGATTCCTGCACTGAACAAAAGGCGAGACAACATTGGCAAGTTCACATCCCATTTCGGGTCATGACGCCGAGCATAATAATCTCCGTACAACCGTTTCCGGACACTAACATTGAAGAAAAAGAAGTAATGATATACAAAAAAGAAAACCAAAGGCCAGCCTTCAAGGTAGCCATTGAAATAAGCTGGTGGAACAAGGGTGAGCCATGTAAAAGCTGATGTAACAATCGCCAATTGCTCAAATATGTTTGCCTCACCGAGCGCGTGTTTCCGAAAGCAATATAACCCATAAGCTGCAAGCACTGCGGCCACGAACCATGGCCAGTATATCCAAGTCCAGCTAAAATACATCCAGAAGAAAGGATTTAAGATCATATTAATAGTCCATTTTGTGGCTGTAGTTATGACAGACAGTATCGCCGTCAACTTTACTATATCAATTGGAGTCAACTGCAGAACGGAAGCCTTTATCGAATCAAATGATATGTTTTTGAAGTACTTTAGGACTGGATTACTAGAATCTGTGCTGGCTTCATTGGAAATTGAGCATCTGGAAAGAGGTAACAAATCAGCCCTTTTTCTTACTGGTTTAAGTAAGGAGGAAAAGGGTTTTCCATAGCTGCAACTACAATTCAATTGAAAAGTCATGCCCTTGGGTCTTGGGTGGAGTTGATTACTGTTATTAACCGCACCAGCATGAAGTTGTTTGCTGAAAGGTCTCAGAGAGACATTGTTGCTCACAATAGAGAAACCAAAAGGTACAACTTTTGAGTGTGAAAGAACTTTTGCTACTTCCATCACTGCTTGAGATAAAATCACATAAAACTTTGCCACTGGCTGCAAATAAATCACGAAGCCAAAGATGCACCAACAGAAATCAGGCTCAAATCCTTCCACACATTGAGTTTACTCATAAATCATAATCAACGGATCCAACCCACGGGAGAGGCAATGGAATCGGACATATATATTTATTTTTTTGTTCCCCTTTTTCCAAGATAGCGAGCAACAACCTTAATAGCATTAAAATCCAATATCGTTCAATCTCTAAACAACATTATTTATAGGCACCAATAAAACAAACAGCAACAAAACAATTATCAGAACATAAAATGACACTACACAAGGTACTAACCGATCTATATTATAATTCATGTAGCACTACACATCAAATGGAAGGCGTGTTCAGCGGCACGTGTCGGATTGACACTAGTTATTACATTCAATCATTTCCATTTTGTTAAAATTTCTTGGTGTCTATGTATCAATGTTGTGTTCTATGTTGTTAATCTCGGATAGCGTTGCATAATACCTAACTCTTAAAATGCTACAGCAGAATAGCCGCTATTGCAAAGACTAAAATCAAGCCAGCAAAATAAACATAAATACTCAAAAATAGACTAATACACAAAACTAAAGAAATCGTCATACTTATTAGTTAAAGAACCTAAAATACAAAGTAATAAAACATAAGAAGAGAAGAAGAATAAAACAAAACAGAACTAAAAGTAGGAAGAAGAGTAGAACAATTATTTGTCAGCAAGAACATAACATTACTCTTCAAAGGGTTCAGATTGCAATTTATACCCTTAGAAAAAAGAAACAATTTAAAAAGAAGAATTTGAAGAATTTATCCCCAAAAGTCCTAGTAGTGGAAGCAATAGCGGCTGCAATAGAGGTTTGGGACCACCATTATCGGCCGCTACAACCACCATTGTTGACAGTGGTATGCAGACCAATAGCATACCGCTGAACTCTACCACAGCTATGCTACTCCGCTTCCGCTATAGAACAATAGCATGCAATTGACAACCTAGGTGTATCATAGTATCATATCATAGATTATGATTAAGAAAAGTACAAAACCAATTACCATAAACTTAACAGCCCTACAGAGTATGATATAAACTCAAAATGAAAATGTCACAAATTCTAAATCCTCCTTTTACACCGTCCAACAATAACAAAAAAAAAACTCCACCAATTTCATACTTTTTAATCAGTTTAAAAGCGTATATTACAGCAGGTAAACAACTTAGACAAATAAACAAACACATGGTGTGCAGATATGAAACAATTGACAAACCATCTTCACGCGCAGTGTAAGAGTCGAAAATGGAACAAAGAAGAAATAAAAGATTAAAAATGAAATGAAGAAGATAGCATAGGATAGGAATAGTACCAGTTTACGAAAAACGAAAGTAGAGTTATGAAGGTACGAGTAGTTTGAAGTCGAAAAGAGACAATTGTTGTTCCTCGTGTAATGTTGTAATGTTATGTTATCTCTGGAAAGATTGTGGAGTCATTTTCTAATTTATTTATGCAATCAAATATCAAATATAAAATAAGAGTAAATTTCATAAATTTCATAAATTTTGTATAAAATATTTCTACAAATAATCCTACATACAATCGAAAAGTAGTTTAGAAACAAATGTATCACAATTGTTTTTATATATACTCTTCTAAATATTTATTAAATTTGTCATTCATGAGATAAATGCGAATAATCTTTCACGCACTCAAACTTTTATAATATTTTCGCATTACTCCTTTGTTAATTTTTAATCACATGTGTAATTTCAATCTATGGAAATGACAATCATGTGTAAAAACTACATATTATTTATTTTATTTGAAATTTGAATAAAAGTTGTTTGATAGGTTAAATAATATAATGAACATCCAAAACGCATTAATATATTTCTTATATTTAATCATTATTAATCATATATATTTCTTATATTTAACTATTATAAATAATATATCACTACAAAATTTATGTTTTTTACTAAATTTTAAATTTTTTTAACAAATGTCGATTAACATTAAAGACTTAATATTTTTTGGACAAGTATATTAATATATGAGTTTTTTTTTTTTAATTTCTCAATTTAACTGCGATACATTTTTCATCTTAATGAAGGTCCTTTCAAGTATAGATTGACGGTAGATGTGAACGTATCAATGAGATATCGACTGTACACTGTTATTTTAATGTTCATATTTAAAATCTTTCTTTTATTGCTATTTTATATAATTGATGTTATAGAATTCATTATACTGTTTATTATAAATGCATATCAATGCTTAAAAGTTAGTGTATATTATTAGCCTATATTTGAAACTATGTAAATATTAACTAATTTAATAAACGAAGATAAATTTTATAAATGATAATTTGATAGACGTATAATGTGAATTCAGAAGGGACTCATATGATATTACATATTTCTTACTAGTTTTTAAACTATAAAGTAGTAATTTCTCTTTAATCATGTCAAATACTAGTAAGTTCTTTTTTTATGTAAGTTAGTTGTTTTATGTTTAAAAATGTCAATATTTTACACAACCTTGTTTTTTTATATTAATTGTCTTGCTTGATTATTTAAAAAGGTAAATTCATCATCAATTTATCAAAATTGCATAAAAATAACTATTATAATCTCTAATATATCAAAATAACATCCAATTTATCCTTTCAACTTTTTATAAATTTTGGTGACATTATTAAAGTTGTGTTCAATTGTAGTCAAAATGATATAAATATTCAACATCATGAACTCAATCTCAAATAGACATAGACATATAATTTAATATCGAGTATCTAAACTCTTCGCTCAAGTCCAATATGTTAGAGGATGACTAATCCTATTTACGGTTGCCTTGACGTATGGGTGAGAAAGCGTCGACCATCGTCGATCACCTTCAAATGAGCCTATAGACTGGCCCTAAGGTACTTAACTCATAACCCAAGTTCAAACACGCTAAAAGTTTTTATACTTTAATTTGATCTCCATAATATAAGGATAAGATTGGTTGTTGTCTCAACTCTCCCTTACATTACATGAGAAGACGTCGGCAATTGCCATCTATGATCATCAGTCATGTTAGCAGCCAAAAGCTGGGTTGGAGTAGGCACCCCTGCAACTATAAATAGCGAGGCACAACATGAGTTCAAAGAAGCAAATCATAACCCTAAAATCTAAAGGTTATGGTCATAACACATCTATGAAAACACTTTTTATCACATGTTTATACACCAATAAAGCCTTTTTCATCGCACACTACTAATAAGGTCCATGTCATTGACTTAGCAAGAACATTTGGTATCAACTTTGGGATCCGGTAAGAATAGTTCTTCAATCAAATAACCATTAATCCAAGTGAGGAAATGGCAGAGTCAGCACCACCTAAAAAGAAAGGGGTATTGGCCCGAATTCTGATCACTTTGGGCGAATTACGACACCCTAATGAGGTCATGCATGCACGAGTAAAATGAATCCAACAAGAGTGGATTATCGAGGGCGGCGATTTAGGGGATCCCCATCCTCTATGAGAAAATATTTTAGATGCCCATGTCTTTGAAATTATCAACACCCCTCCCCTTTGAAAGTGATACCCAAGAGCACTTGACTTAAATAAACACATATGGTTAAATCCATCAAAATGGGCTAGCACATATGATTCGGTTTGCTAAGCCTGGTAAACATAGGGCTTTAGCCTTAAAATTAGAGCCCAAATTTGATAAGGGCTTTTTTAGCCCAGTCCTAAAAAGCTCGTTACCCATTAGGACAAGCATGTATGGATCGTGGATAGCCTGTTTGACATGTTTAACTAAAAATTTAAAATAATACTAATGTTTATGTTATTTCACTTGAAAACCATACATTGAGTTGATACACTTTACTAAATTTATTTATTTCATGTTTCACTTCACAATTTTATCGTTTTTCTTTTTTGTTATGTTAGATATTTGTGAATTATTTTAAATAATTTCAAACTTGTAATGCATTTATGAACATGTTATATTATTATTTTTAAATAATATAATACTTAAAGATGTATTATATTTATAATAATATACTTTATATAATAAATATGTTAAATAGTATAAGATTTATTTTATTTTTTTATCAAAAATAGTAAATAATTTATTCATTTAGGGTCGAGTAGCCTGCAATCCATCTAGGTGAGTAATATATTTTGAGCCCGTGTTATAAAAGGTTTTTTTTTGCCTGACCATATATATCCCGAGGTCCGTCAGGGCTAACCCGTTTAAGGTCGAGTAGCTCATTTTGATGGCTCTACGTATGGAAATCATCAAGGAGATAAAATAACTCAAGTATAAGCTCTTTTCAAGTACCTTAAAAAAGAAAATCTTCAATAGAATATGAACATGCCTCAGTACCCACTCTTATTTCTCCCGGTAATTAGTACATCAATTTTGGGAGTAAACATAAAAGAAAGTAACGACAACCTTCATATTCATCATTCACCAGTGTAGCCCCAAAACCATAAGGACTGTCTCATCTTTTTTAATGAAGTCACTATTATGATTTGCAATCCTACCTAGACAATGTTTGTGGGAGGTATATGAACATGCCTTTGTAGCCACTCTTATTTCTCCCGATAATTGGTACATCAATTTTGGGAGTAAACATAAAAGAAAGTAACGACAACCATCATATTCATCATTCACCAGGGTAGCCCCAAAACCATTAAGGTTGCCTCTTCTTTTTTAATGAAGTCACTATTAGGATTTGTAATCCTACCTATATAATGTTTGTGGGAACGTTCCAAAATGGATTGAAGGTCGTACATTTTAATGACTTTTTTGTACATAAGTCGGGTGTCGTCATACAAGAAGTTATGAAGTGGATAAAATTTTACATAAAGGAAGAAGAAAGTAGTGAGTAAAGAAAGAAAATTGGGAAATTGAGAGTCAAATTAAGTGGGGATGCCTAAATAAGTATAAAAAGGATCTCGGATAGAGGCATGTTCATCCAAAAATAGGGATATGAAAACCAGACCGAGATCACCTGATCTCATAGAAGGGAAGAAAAAAGGCCAATGAAATAAGAAGGGTGGCCCTCAATCCTAACACAATATCAATACCATAGTCGACAATTTCTCTATTGGAGGAAAATCTAACACATCTATAATAAGATACGAAAGATAAGAGAATAATGTTCAGAATCCTTTTAGATACCTTAAAACTCCACATATTTTAAACATCATCTTCTCGACGAATGACTAATGAAGACTAATACCCCCACTAAGATGATCCAATTGTGATCAAATTACATATTTTCAAGTGGAACACAAAGAAGTTCTTCATTAATCTCGATAGCTCTACCAACATCCTATACTTTACGCTTTTGAAGGATCACAACTCACTCTATAATAGTTGCACCCCTATCGATTAAACCTAGTAAGCTTCTCGAGACAACAAGAAAATTTGAGGGGTCATGTTACCTTTAATACCATATTTGTGCAGGGAAGAAATTCTAAAGTAGTGAAAGTGTCATACCTAGTAACGAGTGACCCATTATCATCGTAAATCACCATAATTGGCATGCATGTTTTTGATGCACTAGAAGTGGCCATGTCCACTCTATACATAATGCTTAAGTACTCATTAGATGATAGAAATATTGGTGTTGTAAAAGGAAACTAAGAGGTCTCCAAATGATGTTACCAGGATAGCCTAGTGCTCAATCCAACAAAGGCTAAAGATTAATCCCTTTCACCTTTATATGGTCCCAAGTATGTTAACTTTGTGAAGATAATGGCCAACTTGGAACCGTGAGAAAACTTTTGGAAAACAAGACTGGTCCCTGTCAAAGATCTAAATGAAGTCCAAATCGAAGATGACCCTCAACAAATCACTAATTTAGGTACATATAGATAAAAATGGATCCACTAGACACCCATTTTATGGTCGTGATGACCAACACATGTTACTGCCAATTTAAATAAATTTCCCTTGGCCTTAAGAATGCTAGTTCAACAAAACAATGAATGGTGGAAAAAGTTTTCACATACCAGATAGGGAGAAATATAGAAGTATATATTGGTGACATGGTGGTTAGAAGGAAGAAATATGTAGTCAAAGGGAGGACCTAAAATAAATACTAAGCTTGCTAAGAAAACACATCATGTGCCTTAAGCCAAAAAAGTGTTCCTTTGGGGTATGAGCAAGGGAATTCCTATGGTTCATGATAACAAATTGGAAATAGAGGCCAACCTAAATAAGTTCTAGGATATTATTGACACGTAAAGCCGATCTAATGTAAAAGAAGTCGAACAGTTCACTAGGGGAATAACCATTATATCTAAATTCTTATCATGATTGGGGGAGAAGGTGTTCCTTTATTTTGCAACACTTAGAAAATGGGGGAAATTCTTATGGAAAATAGAAAGGGGGGATTCTGTAACACCATATTTTCCCATATGAATATTTATAATGAAATATACGACAAATGCATCAGAGTTCACAATGGGATGCCACATAAATCATAAAATCCATAAAGTTCTCAAAATACTTTATTACTTCGTGTATCCAAAAATGGTTATTCGGCAGTAGAAAATAAACATAAAAGTGGTTCATTGGCATTTTAGCCTTAACAACAATTCAAATCCATAATACGTGGTCCATCATAAGTTTAAAAGAAAATGTGCAACATTTGAAATCATGCAAAATATAATGAAAATCCCGTGTTACATATCAGAGTGACTCCTAAGACTCGATCTGGTAACATCACTTCAAGCACTACTCAGATACCTGATTATCTGTACTTCCGAAGAGTACAGACACAACAACACAAAAGGGGTGAGAATTTCATTCAATAATTACACGGTGAAATAAAACATGCTAAGGAGTAGTAAATCACAACATATAGAAATTTCATCACAAACAACCATCATCACATCATACGACATCAATTTAATGTTTATGCAATGCAATAGTCCTACCTGAACATGCATGTGGTTCCATCAAGGAACAAGCCTTTAACTCAATGCCAATTGGGCAATAACAGAGCATAAGCCCTCAACATAACGCCAATCCAGGCCAACATCAGGGCATAAGCCCTCATCCATGAATGCATGAAATATAAACATGAAACAACGTGAAATCATACAACCACGAGGCATAAGCCTTCATCATCATGGAAATTTAAGCCATCCACATCATCCTCATCATAATCACCAACATTGCCTCATACCGGCACCACCAGCAAAAGAACATTGCAAGAAAACAACCCAACGTTTCGGTGTAACAACGGGGAATAATTCCTATTTTAACTTAGTTACTAGAATTATCCTTATAAATCTTTATTTTTACTTCAAGTTTATGGTGTTAGCTATCCAACACTTCGAGAATGGCGCATGAAACGGAGTTACAGTTCAAAAGTTATGGCCGTTACAAAAATTGCCAAAAATGGGGCTTCTCTCGTGTTAGGTTGCGTTGACCCTTGCTTTGATCGCTCCTGGCTTTTGCATCGACTGCCCTTGCTAATGTTGTTCGCTGCTCACTGTTGTTGTTGTTTGCATGGACCTCTTCCCTATTTGCATCGATACAAACTGTTAAATTCTGAGTTTTTCTGTGATTTTTCTGCGATTTCACTAAATTTTGGATCCTAAAACATCATCTAATCATAGGAATTCATCATCCATTATCATCATATGTTTCTACATCAACTATACATCATTTGGAAATTATTATTCATCTTATATTTCATCAAGCCCTCATCCAAATACCTCAAATCCTAACTCTCATTACTTATAGATTCTAGATTGGGGTTTTACGCAACAATCATCATAATAACGCAATCACAACAACAATCACAACATAGTATCACAGATCCATGTATAATCATATATAACACATCAATTTAATCAAATCAAACAAATTATGCATCAATCATATAAAATAACCTAAGAGGGAAAGAAACCCTCACTACCCTCTCATGTAAGATCACCAATTAGAGAATCCATTCACCCCTTTACCTTATGATTATTGTTAACTTTCGATTCCTCTTCTCGTTCTACAAATTCCTCTTTGCCTCCATGTCTCCTTGTGCCCTAGCTTCTCCTTTGCTCTTCTCCCAATATCTCGATCGTACCAAATGATCGTACAGTTCTCTTTTCCCTTAGTTATCACAAGGACCCCTTATATCTTCCTCAATTGCCCTCACTTAGTATTATACCATTTACCATCATGCCCTCACTGTTTCTACTAATTACCATCTTGTCCTTATTTTCTCTACACTTCTATTATTCTATTATTCTAATTACTTAATCTAAATAATTCCAATTAATCACTATTAAATCTAAATAATTCAAAAATAATTATTTAAATTCTAAACCTTCTTACTAACTCATCCTACACCGCACAACTCATCATCTTAAACACCTTATTCATCAACTCGTCGCTATTTGCATCACAATTGCATCACAAATACATATCATATACTGTCACAAGGACTCACACAAGGCACCAAACATCATAAATAAGCATCAAAACACCATTTACTTCACATAGACTCATATAATGATACTAAATTAATTAATTAAATAATTAATCTAAAATTCAGGGTGTTACAGATTCCATCAAGAACATCAATAATGTTATCCCCCTCCCTCACAAATACTAATGTGCCTAACAGAATGTAGTCTCTTATTTCTTTATTTATCAATCACAAAGTATGTCCTCATTCCTTAATATGGATCTATGTGCTTGTAGGTACAATTTTCTGCAACCAATAGATGAACTTGGTGATTTTTATAATGACAACACCTAAGGACAAACGACATTCTTTGAAGTTTTTAGTGACAATTATCCACCAATCTTTGATGATGGTGTCTGATCAAGAAAGTTTTCTCAAGCCTCATTAGTTAGATGATCCAAGTTTCAGATGAATGATAAATCAATAATCAATCAAGAAATAGAACTTGGATTCCAAAGTTGTGAAAGAGAAGAAGTGTGAAAGTCCATCTAATCTTGCACTTAGCATGTGTCTGAGTGATCTGTTTAATGTAATGATATAAGAGTAACTATCGAGATATTAAGGTACCTCCCACACATAAATATGTTTGAGAAGCTTATCTTGTTTTTGTAATTCAACTAAAATGTTTTATGTGCATCCTTAATTTATTAATGACTTGTTTAATCAATTAGGAGAACTTTTAAACCGGTTAATATATTACTAGATTAGGATTGATCTATTAAATAATTTGTAACACCTCCAAATGGATTAGAGAAGCCTTTAATCTATAAATGACAATTTAAGTTAAAAAAATCTTCCATATTAGGATTATATAATCAATTAACAGCCAAAGTTAATCAATTAAGACATAAAAAATTCCCATGGATCAAAATTAAAACTATATTATCTCATTTTCTACTCTTTTCTTCTCTATTTTCTTATTCTTCATGAAAGTTCCCTTAGTATCAAAAGATTGAAAATACTTGTGAGAGTTTAGTTGCAATGGTATTGTGTTGCACTTGTTATTGTACAAAGGTGTGT